TGAAGCACCGAGCATATTTATGGCAGACGGGCAGCATTGGATCCCCGAGGCAAAGACAGGCAACGGAAGGGAAAATCGGGAGTCTCTGCTGAGCCGCGACTGATCTGCCAGCCGATTTGCAGCGCCGGTCCCCTTGCACTTCCCCGCTTGTGCTCGGTTGTTAACTTTGTTCGCATATACTTTGGGATACTCTGGAGTATTCCTGTGGGGTTGGTGGGAGATCCTGACCCCAAAGGGATCATACTTTGGATGGATCCATGGCGATAAATGGGGATACAGCCAGTGAGAGAGATGCCAATGGTCAACCGGTCATGGTTGCTTTCTAATGATTGATCTCGTGACTCCGGGGAGGCAAGAGTTACGGATGCATTAAAGGTAATCAATGTGCATGACTAATGTATTTATGTACATATCTCGTGACTTGTAACTACTTACAGCGCTACTCCTGACTTGCCTCATTTGGCAACATGTCCCGACCCGCCTCTTAAGGAATCCTTCTGATCCTTTGGTAGGTTTTCTGATTTAGTGTCTATTCCCTACCAACGACTTCCCTCCACGCGGTACAATCCATTCTTCCGTTTCTCCGCCTCCCATCGCTCAATCCACGCCTTCATGCGCTCCCGACTTTTCCGGCTACCCACGTTCACCGTGGGTATCACCCGTCCGATCCGGAGTGCACAGCAGAACATGCTCAACTCCCGAAATGAGCTGTGCTCGCTGTACGGCACTCCAAAGCAGGCACTTTCCCGCGTACTCCCCCGCTGTGGCACCAGGTCTTTCGCAGAGAAGGGCGTCTTCCAATGCGCCGAGTTGAGCACCACCGACACCGGTGGGTTGTCCAGCATTCTTCCAGCTGGCGGTCGATACGTCCACCCCGTGGGTCGAAATCCCACCACCCGCGTGAAGTGCGGCTTCATCGAGTCCAGATAGTCGGCCAGCGTCTCCGCCCGGATCTCAAATAGCGTTTGCATATGCACCTGCGCCTCCGTGGGATCGTCCGTCAGCAGCGATGACAGCGCAGCATCCTCGAGGCACGCACAGACCCGCTGCTTAGCTGGCGTTGCGTAGATTTTGCTCTTCAATGCCCGCGCAATCCCCAGGCAAATGCGTTCCTTGCCGATGCTGTACGTCCCAATCACCACCAATAACCGCCCCGGAGGACGGCTTCCTTGTGTTGGAGACGGGCGGGATCCAGTCACAGCTGTAACAAACTTGCTCAGCATTCCGCTTTTCCCATTGACTGGTCGTCCGAATGCTCGGCCGTTGGTATCATTAGCGTCTTGGTCGAGCTCAACGCAGAGGTCCGCGCAAGCTTCAATGACGTCTTCTTGGCCTGGGAATGCGTACTTAGGGCTCAGATAGGTAGTGTCGAGATAGCAGGCGTCGATTCGTTGCTGGCGAGTCTTGCCAGTTGCGGGATCAGTGATCTCCGGGCGGAGAAGAGCATGTTGCACATGCAACGGCGAGGCGCGAAAGTCACCACAGTGAAGGACACGGTGTGTCCTCTGCGAGGGGCCGGATCCCATTGATTTCTCGAAAAGAAAGATGGCGCTCCCGGGACAATGATTCGCTTCGATCAAGGTCACTTGCGCTCCTCCCGTCCCCGGGATTTCCGTCTTCTGTTCGAACTCAAGTGGTACAAGCCACTTCCTGTCAACTTTCAATTGCTGGCACACCAAGTTGGCCGTAGGCCTGCTGCAGTAGATTGGTCCATGGCGCCAGGACCCCGTGAGGCCGATGTAATGATCGCTGTGGAAGTGACTGAGGAAGTACGCGTTGCACCCCTCGACGGCTCCGTATCGAAACGCATCCACACAGAGGGAGAAGCCAGGGATAATCTTGTAGAACGGACAAGTCCGCTGATAAGCCTGTTTGCCACGGGACGCAACCTCGTTGGCCGCCGCTGCATCCCATGCTGTATCTTCCGCGTTGCCGGCCATGAGCTTCGAAAAGGCCGACCTCGTTCCTGCGACGCCAGAGGCATATGGGTCACGCTGCGCTGGTCTCGCGATAGCAGCCCGGTCGGCAAGACTCATTCCTTTCGACGACTTCATCTCCGGTCCCGGCTCCGAATCCGGGTCTGGCTCCGCCTCTGGCTCATGTTTCAACGACTCCGTAGGCTTCCCATCAAGACAATCGTTGACATGTACCGAGACATCCTAGAACAACCATTACCACTAGCACCAAAGACACAATTGGCACAACTTACCGTCTCAGACAAGCCTGTCAAAACAGCCTGACATACAGGACACACAGGCGCTTCACAGCCAAAGTCTTCACCCGAAACCCCGCTATCGTCAAGTCCAATGTCGTCTTTAAAATCCTCATCATCGTCAAATGCACCTAAGAAATCTTCTTCCCCTCGAAACTCGTCCTCTTCAAGATCGTCAAAATTCGCGTAAACATCATCGTCGTGGCTCGTGGCTTCTCTTACCGGTGGTGTGTCGACATCGACTGCGGGAGCCTGGGTTTCGTCTGCCGAGTTTATTTTCCCGTCCGATACCCCGGCCTCAATCTCAGTCCCATTCTCGTATTCCCTGAACTGCTCCAGATCCTCGCTCTCACTGTCCGATTCATCAATGAATGGCCCGCTGATTGACCGAGACGGCTTCTGAGTTGACTTCGATTCAGTGCCACTCTCGCTCTCCGTCTTCTTCTTATCCTCCCCACTCCCATTCTCAATATCATCCTCCAGCGATATACCCTCCCCTACCCTCCTCTTCTTCACACTACCCCCATTCTCCTGAAACCGTTCATCCTCCTCCTCTTCCTCCCAAATATCCTCCGGCGTCTTCTCCCTCACATAGTCCCCTCCATTCGTAAAACTAACCACCTTCTTCGCATCCTCCAAAAACAAACCCCCGGCACCAGCAGCCCCATTCCCACCCCTCACCCCCGAGGACCCTTCATCGCCAGTTGCATCATTCTTCTCCGCCTTCGTCGCGAACTGCGTGATCCGCGACTGCCGAGACGTAGCTTTCGGCGGCCCGTCCGCCTTTTGGAAGAAACTGAGAAGGCTGGTGTTGCGTTTCGTGGCTTTTGATTTCGCCGGCGTTGACCGAGAGGGCGTAGATGGTTTTCGAGGAGGGAATGGCGTAGGCATGGTTTGAGCCTGGTGATTGATCGTGTGCTTTCGTTGCTTTATCGCGTGGTCAAAGTGGCGGGCGGGCGGATAATTTATGCGTGAGGGTATGGTTATGTATGGCGGATTGGAAGCGTTAAAGCATATTCATACAAGATTAAGCCATGAATATAATATGGAACAGAATAATTAAGATGTATCTGTACAGATGGTTGCCTCATGGAATCGAGGAGCGCGGTGAGTAGAATCAGAGGCAGTCGAATAGCCAAAGCGGCGAAAAGAGATAAGGCGCGGGCGCGGCGGGCGGAGACTCGACTCGATTTTCGCGACACGAAGTCAGGTGACCGTTCCACCCATTGGTTTCCATTTGCGGTTGTTACTATCAAATTAGAGGAGTGAGAGTAACTACTACTATTTATGATGGTAGGCGGATGGGCTTTGTCATTTGTTTTTCATTCATTTTTATCCTAGCTACTAGGTATCCGCACACTCTGTTCCTTTTCTTTTTATCATGTGTCCAGGAGAGCTTTACCAGTAAACCTAGTAGTACCCACTAATATTCGTCCTCCCTCTGAAATCTAGTACTTCTAGTAGTCAGTAGATGTAGTATGTATGCAGGTGCACCTATCATCATCACCATAATTCAGCATCTGCAATTCCGAGCAGATCAAATCAGCCCTGATCATAGGAGCAGTACTCCGTCCAGTCACTCTGCTCTGGCCCGATGCTTTTCATCCACGCAGACCCTCCTCTTTATATCTCTCTCTTTTCTCTCCGCCATGTTTAACCATGGATATCAGCAACATAATAAAAGTGAAACCCGCATGACAACGACAAACATCATCACATCGTGAAGATTAAATCTGCAAATCAAAGAAGAAATAGAAAGAAAAATACATAAAAGAGAAAAGTCAATCCCATCCGTAGAGCAAAAAAAAAACCCAACCAACCATCAAAGCGACATTCGGTCAATCAAAGCAAAATCACCGAGCTTTGCCAGCCTGGTTCGCAGCCTCTGTTCATACCACACCATTATCAGCAGTCCATACCCCCAAAACACGCTCAAACAGATAGAGAGACCAGGGATGAAGCATACCTCTCCTCGTCGCATCCTCCAAAAGCCCAATATCGACCTCTGACCTCGGCAGCATAACATAGCGCACCACACTACCACGGATAAACATGTTCTTCACGGAGGACAGATGCGGGTATTTATCCAGATCCAGAACGTCGACATCATCCAGCTTAATGTTCAGGTACTGGTCGACGGATTTGAGGGTGCCGCGGATGCGAATGTCGTTCTTGAGTTCGATGGTCACCGTTTGGTTGGTAAGGGTCTTGAAGAAGCTGCAAAGTAATTATCCCCGTGGTGGGAAGTATTAGCGTGGTTGCCTTGGTGCTGGTTTGAGAATCTCGGGCGCTTTCTTACCTGAAGAAGAGCATGGTTGCGGTGCGAGGTGGGGGAGAATATGGAGGGGTATTGATGCGGTCGGAGTTGTGGTTTTGTTGGTTAATTAACTAGTAGCGCATTTACTGCTGAAAATTTGGTAAGGAGGTATCGATTGGGTCCTTTGCTTGCGGGGCTGGCGGTGGGAGACGTGAAGACGAGGAATATGCGATCATCTGGAGCTGCGGGTATGATGCTGCGGTTTGGTGTTGAGCATTGTGAGTGGTCACGTGATGAACTTGTCAGCTATGCTGGGTATGGCATCTAATCGTGGAATCACAACTGAATTATTCTGAGTACTCTAGTTGAATTTGGAGCATGCTTATGATGTTTACCCTCTGTCAATCAGGTAGGCTTGATTCAGACATGCGAGACGTCAACAGCAGATTGCCGGGTGTATATCTCCGATTTAACCTACTACTTGTACTACCAGCTAGTATACTAGTAGCTACAAAATATATTATATCAACTCTGCATGGGTATCAAGTGAGTGTCATTGTCAACAGCTATCCAACCTAGTGTCCACCAGCCATTAATCTGCATTCATCATCTCTCGTTCCGCAAAAACAAAGGGGTATTTGAAAAGAGCGATAAGAAAGACACAACTCCCGCTATTACATTAGATGCGCCACCAGGGCAGCTTGGGGTTCATAGTGTACCTTGGGCAGCCCGAATGAAACCTCGGCGTCGAATGAAAAGAGAATGGACGGAGAAGCACGGCTCAGCCTTTGCTGGATTTCCGTCCGTGACGCTTCTTCTTCTTCGACCTCGGTTTCATTGCCCACCCCGACAAGCAGGTCCAGCCTGCACCGTTCTTGCGTCCCTCATCAAACACACTCCCAATGCCTGCCAGCAGGTCTTGTTGATCCATTCCCAGCTCCGTTTGCAATTTTACAAGCCATTGTTCCCAGATCCAGCCACCTAGCACACCCGTAACACTGGCGACATCTGCCGTGCTCCCGACTGGGCCTTGTACCGCTTCGCATTCTTCAATGAGACTCTTCACCCTCGGATCGGGTGTCTCCCTAGGCGGTTCAGGCTTGACCGGCTCAGTACCCATAGGTAGGAACATCCAGGCTCGTTTTACATCCGCGAAGTTCTTCTGCAAGCGACTGAGAAAGCCTTTGGTTGGTGTCGGGTCGTAACCCAGAGCCCTGAGACCGGACGCAAATTCAGCTGACCTGGCAGATGCCTGCGGGCCAGCACGTGTGATTTCTGCATCCATGACAAAGAACTCCAAGTAACCACCTGGCTTGAGGCAACGTCGACATTCTTTCAGGCAAAGGTCATACTGGTCTTGGGCCTCCCCAGACGGGCATTCTTTCTTCAACAAAGCAGGAAGAGAGCGGGCTGATATCACATCGAACTTATTGTCGGCGAACGGCAATTTCCACAGTTGGGATACAGGAAGATGCCGGTGATTGGGAGGTCCTTTGATGCCTGGGTTGACCTCCTGATGCTCAGTAAAGACGGTATAAACTTTAACATGAGGATATTCGTGAGCTAGTTGCCAAGCCCATTCGCATGAGGCGTGTCCGCCGAGGTCGAGGATCCGTAGTTGACGGGGAGTTCGTTTACGCGTGCTGGACAGCTGCTTCAGAGCAGGACTCACAATGAGGCGACCCCCGTTGATATATCTCAGAGCATCCATGGCCCACATTGGTTGACGAATTTGAGACAACACAGTCTGCTCCTTCTCGACTATGGAGAACTGGGCCTTTTCTGCCAGAGCCGAGTCCATTGTTGAGTTGCGAGGCGCCAATGAGAAGGGCCCTTTATAAGCTGGACGTTCCGGACGAGCGATCTCATAGTTTCCACGCAAACGCTTGATGTGCGCATCTGTTAAGCCCAGTCGGACAGATTGAACAGCATCAAATCTCGTGTTCCGATGCACAAAGGTGTCCCGACTGCCGGACTGTTGCTGGACCGCCTTGAATCCGCGCCAGTATATGGAGTCTCTACTCGCTAGTAAAGAGGGGCGAGAGCTGGGTGCTTCTGGAAGAGCTTTGGCAAAACGAACCGACTGCTTCCGGCTTAACTGTTTGGGTGATTGCCGGTCGGTCTTGGGCCCAGCTTCCTCGTTGTAAGCCTCTTCATCCAACATGTTCACGGGATTGGTCTCATTAAGAGCTGAAAGGTAAGAAGCCTGGGCTGCCAACCAATCGCTGGTCCGGTCCAAACCCGACATTGCCTTTTGCTTTAGTTCGCTCTCATAGTCCTCGTCTCGTTCGTCCTGATCGTCCGGGCCAATGGGCGGAAGAGCATCGTCCATAGCATCATCCTCAGAGCATGCTTGATCATTGAATTGATCGAATAATTTGGGCGTCTTTTCCTCGGGAATTCTGATAGCGGTGGGTGGTCCGATGGGATCATACACGGCTGTCAGTTGTTCTTCTGTCGTCCGTTCGGGGTACTCTATGACATGCTCAACTACCTCCCCTTCGGTCCGGGAGAACGGTAGCTTGTAAAAGCTCTCGGCAGTGGCAGAAGTCGGCGGTTTATTTCCACAGGGGATAGACCAGGTGTGACGTGCTCGTGGACCCAGTGAAGCAAAGAAGCCACCAGGTGAGGGTATGCTCAGCCTGCTGAAACTATACCCTGAGATTTCCGACGCCGGGGTGGCATCGTCGGCACTGCGCGGGCGTTCTGGAGGCATACGGATCTGCCACATCTCTTCGTTGGACTCGGAAGTTTCCGACCAGGGATCTGGAGTTCCATCGAGTGAGATGTGCCTCAGTGTCTCCAAGGCATCTGCAGGAAGAGATACGCCCCGGTCAGATGGTGTATCTCCCCTTACTGGCTCCGCATCCAGGTCAATTGACGACGCGGTCGACTGGCCGCCCGGGATCCGTGGAAACCTGCCTAGGACCTGCCGCCAGTCCTCGTTGGCGCTCTCAATAGCGATCTGAATGCTTTGGGTATCCGGCTCCGCCTCAAGATCTTCATCCTGCGAATCTTCTAGCTCGTGACGAACATGCACATCTTGCGCAGTCCAGTCGTTGTCTGGAAGGGACTGCAGGTCAGGAGTTGCTGGAGCACTGATGTTCGACACCTGGTCAGAGGAGACACTGCCGTCCAAGGACGGCGGGGCATGCACGGCCGGCACCGAATGGGCAAGCATTGACAGGGCAGCAGGGGAGACAGGTATCTTCGGCGGGGAGTTGGCGGGATCGGGGAGCTCTTTGCAGCACCATGCAGTGATGGCCACATTGTGGACGACGGTATTGTGAGACTGGGGTACCGGCTGCGGGAGACCGGAGAAAAAACTGAAGTACGCGTCGTGGGTGTCACCAAACTTGTTGGTCGGGTGCTAGCGAAGGAAGTGCACTCATCACTGATGTCCGAATCGTCATCCGTTGCATCGTACAGGTCTTCAAACGGCTGCATCTGACGCTGCCATTCAGTGTCTGAACAAGAGGAGACGGAGCCTGCGGATATTGGCGAGAAGAATCGAGGCAGTCGAGACCCTGATGAAAGCCCGCTGGTCTTGAGCTTCAGCTGTGGTGGCTGTGGAGGTTGCGGTGCCTTTGGTGTTGTCTGCTTGGCACTGGATGCAACAGGCTTTGTAGAGTCTGCATAATGCGCCTCGCGCGCGTCCTCTACTATCGTATCAAGCCTCGTTCCTCGCACCTGTCGCAGAGGTGGGCATCTGCCCGTTGCGGGACGGTATACGTCCGTCATGATGCCCAAATGTGCCCGATGCTAGTGTTATCCTTCTTTCGATTACGATATGGGATGCAGGGTATGATGCAGTAGACAACGTATATCCAACGAAGCAGCTAGGGTATCCCGATTGCAGTTGACACCGATCAACGGTTCAACGATTATCAGAGAATTAGCAGAACGAATGATTACCCAGCTACCAGAACTGAGAACACAATAACTTGACAGAAACACAAAACACAAAGAAAAAGGTGGTGAAGAATCCGACCGAGACGGGGTAAGGTGAAGATCACCTTTGGTGACCGGTAGCGCTCGCTCTACTAATAAAGCGCTGGAAAGAGGGGGAAGGGAGGGAGATCTGGAGGGAACACCCTCCCACCATCACCAGACCTGCAGGAACTACTGCAACATTGCGCACAAAGCACCCGTAATCCCTGCCACTGGACAAGCTGAAGATGATATCATTGGTGGTGGGATGATGGGCGCTTCGGCCACGACGAATCCGAACAGTCGGCCAGCCATGATGGGCGACAACGGACGGACTCGGGAGGCAAGCGTGCCAATCAGCGTGGGGTGAAGATCTTTGTGTCTGCAAAGAACCGCCCTCCAGCCAGAGATTGAAGCTGTGTGTGATGGGGGAGGTGTTCGTGTGATTGGCAGGCTCTAAGCGCCCGGTGCTCTATCTTTAGAAAACAATGGGCAAGCGGAGATAGTCCAAGCGGTCAATAGCCGTTGCCAGTGCGTGCCATGGGGTGGATTATTGGAAGTGGTAGTGGACTTATGAGTAGACTAAGGAATTGATTTCGAATCATCATGATCAAGCATCAATGGGAATTGATGGAGAGGGGCTACTACTGTAGATATGATGATAAGCAGCGCGGGTAATCCAGCCACGGCCAGCTTAAGTAGCATAAGCCAACTCAGTCACATACTATTGAGCATGGGCCAGCTGTCGACTGCCGCAGGAAAGCACAGAAAAGGGAAATCCGGTCCGCGTACAGATCCCAACGGGCAAACTGGAAAGGGAGATGGTTGAGTCACCGGACCAGCGTGTCGGCATCGGAAAGGATGGTCACGACAGGGAGGATGGATGAACTGGACAAGGAGATGTGCACTACTGGTCAAGTAGATGGCCAGTTCCCAATTGGGGGTGTAACCCGTGACATGCATTGGGCGCGAGTCTCGACCGGGTGTTCAGGCACCCAGGCCCCCACCGGGCTGCAGCCAAGTCTCCCCCCACGTGCAATCCAGGACCCTAGCCCTTATCGACGGGCAGCAGATTTCCCTTTTGGGTACTCCGGAGGGATTGAACTGACGTCGACAGGCAAGAACTGAATACTGCAAAAATAATGGCGGTGATATCAACATCCGGCTGACTTATGGCTCGTTGCCCTTTTGGCCGTGATGGAGTCTCCATATTTGTTGATATCCACTCCCGGGTCACTGTGGCTCTCCCTTCCCACCCCCCCATTCCTTTCACCGCGCCCCTCGTTCGTCGGTGACCCGTCATCAGAATAATAAGTGTCCGTAACTATAAATCCGGTGCCCCTCCACTTCCTCCATCTCCGGTGGTACCGCATAATACCGAATCTTAAATAAATTCTTCTTAAATCCGCTTCATATTTTCATCCCAGATACCAATTAGCCTACTACCTACCTCTAAAGTCCCCCTCCTTCCAGGTCTTATCCACCATGTCCCCGCCAGCTATCATTGCTCCCTCCATCCTGAGTGCCGACTTCGGCACCCTGGGCAGCGAATGCTCGACCAAGATCGCCCAAGGATCCGACTGGTTGCACGTCGACATCATGGACGGCCACTTCGTCCCCAACATGACCTTTGGCGCCCCCGTCGTCACCAAGATTCGCTCTCATGTTGCTCGTCCCACCGAACCCCACGGCAAGGGTACCTTTGACTGCCACATGATGATTCAGGAGGTGCGTCTGGCTCCCCTTTCTACCACTATCGTACATACCTCAATGAACCTCAAGCTCATGCTCATTCCCCATACAGCCCCACAAATGGGTCAAGGACTTCAAAGACGCCGGCTGTGATCTCTACTGCTTCCACTACGAAGCCGCCATTTCCTCCACCGCTGCTACCAGTCCCGCCGACAACACCACAACCACCAAGACCAGCCCCAAGGACCTCATCCGCTATATCCACGAGGAGGGCATGCAGGCCGGAATTGCTATCAAGCCCGATACCCCCGTCGACGTCCTCTGGGATATTCTGGCAAATGAGAACGAGAAGGAACGTCCGGATGTGAGTTGATCCTACTACATCCCCATAAATTTTCCCCTCTCAGCACATCTTTGCGGAGCATACCCCACATCCATGTACTAGTCTATAGTGGAGAGAGATGTTGGTTAAAGTTCAAGCTATGGAGTACGTAACAACATGCTAACGCTATCTCTCTTGGCAACTATCAGATGGTCCTGGTTATGACCGTTCACCCCGGATTCGGTGGTCAGAAGTTCATGGCCTCCGAGCTGCCCAAGGTCAAAGCTCTGCGCGAAAAATACCCTAACCTCAACATCGAGGTGGATGGTGGCTTGGGACTGGGCACGATTGACCAGGCTGCTGAGGCTGGCGCCAACGTCATCGTTGCGGGCTCGGCCGTCTTTGGCGCCCAGGATCCCGCCGACGTCATCGCTAAGCTCCGCGAGACTGTTAACAAGTATCGCAAGGAGTAAACTGAAACGAATAATAATCCAATAAATAATAAGAATAGAGGAGGGGGAAGGAAACCATAAACAAAAGTTTTCCGGTTCATGTGACACGATTTTGGTTGCGATCGCTCGCATTTCTTATTTGTTCTTTGCGTTTTCTAGCTTCTTCCTGGCGCCTTACAGAAATCTCATGGGCCCTTGTTCGGGTGTTTTCCCTGTCGACATGTGATGAACGAAAAAGGTTCAAAGAGTACTTGATCGGTTACGGGCGGATGATGCGCGTTCAGGCATATTTAGAAGGTTATGGGTTGGGTATACGGATCGGATAGAGTAGGTAAACAGTGGGATCATCAACTATGTATGTAATGGGAAATGAGTCCAGTTCGAACATATACAGCATTGAATGCAAGTTACAAAGTAAGAAATAAACAGCAAGCAAGCAAGCAAGCAAGCAACAGTGAAAGCTGGTATCTTTACAGGGAACGAAGATAAACGGTAAGAGTCTCGCGATAACCGAAACTAGGACGCTGAGTCGTATTCGTCGTCTCAAAATGAATGCAACCGCAAAACCCCGGCCGTTGACTTTGGCAGCCCGCGCTTTCTGTCGACCGGGGTCCCATCCTGGGTTTCACCTCCATTCCTACTCTTCTTCAATAGTCTCCTCCTGATCTGTCCGCGCCGCATTATCCTCCCTCAAGGACTTGAGAAGATCCTGTTGACCCCCGGAAATAGACTTCCGCAAGTCCTGTGCAACTTTTTCTTGTTCTTCTTTGGATGTGGCGGAGATGATGGAGCCACGGTGGTGCTGAACCATTCCTAAAGCTTCAGCAGCATCAGCATGAAAATTAGCAGACGACTCTGCAGCTACCTCGGGCACGAGAGGCGGCCGCTTAGGCTTGCTAGCCTGAGTATCGGGAGCAGCCTCGTTCCCACGTACAGTATCTTCCTTGCCTGCTTGGGACTGCTCGCCAGCCGCAGGGGTCTCTTTCGGGGTCTCTTTTTGTTCTGTAACTGCCGGGGCGGGTTCCTTTGCCGGGGCAGGTTCCTTTGCCGGGGCAGGTTCCTTTGCCGGGGCAGGTTCCTTTGCTGGGGCAGGTTCCTTAGCCGGGGCAGGTTGAGTGCCGCTACCCTTAGCCTTGGCAGCGGCCTCCCCACTAGCCTGGCGCATAGCAGCCGTGATAGCAGTGTCCTTCGGGGTCTCTTTGGACGGGGGGCTTTGAATCTTGATTGTGCTCTGTTTGAGGGTAGTGGGTTCGGGAGTGGGGGTAGATGCGGCCGAGGGGGGTGCGATCGGAGTACTAGTTGCGGGAATACTGTCGATGTCTTCGACACTGTTAACCTGCATCCTCAGCTCACCATACTCATTCCATTCTTCAACTTGCTCCAAGTCCTGTAATTTGAAGATGTTAGCTGGTAGTCCCCAGTAGATATTTGAGCTTCCGTCGCTAGTAGTAGCCACCTAGCCTGTCTGCGCTGGGATGGGGGAAGAATACGTACTCCGACAACAGTGCCGAATTTCACCAAGCCAGGAAGTTTCTTGCCCTTGGAGCGACGGCCCCAGAGCTTCCTGGCTACTTCGTCCGTGGCCACATCGATTGCGCGGAAGGGGAGCTTGTTGGCTTTGAGAATTGTCTCCAGGCGTGCCGTTGCGGTGACGATGTGGGACGACCCCGCAGTCAGGGAAGTGTAGAGATAGAGGGTGGGATCGGACATGTTGATGTACAAGGAGAGATTATCCGGTGATAGGGGTGAAGGATGGGAAAGAAGATGGTGATGGCGAAAGAGAGTGTATCGAACGGAGAGAGCGAGGAAAGTATTAGGACGAGGATGAGGGGAAGAAGACGAGGATGACGATCGCTTTTGATGGAGGCCCGCTTCCCCTTTTGCAGCAGCGCGACGGCGCGCCTTCCCGATTGTTCTTTCTTTAAGGGGCAGAAAAGTGAGGGACTGCGCTTCACCGCCGAATGACGTGGCTTCCTGAGGCCAGCGAAAGATAGGTCACGTGGAATATTGGTCCATGCAGTTTCGAGTAGATTTTTGGAGAGAGTGTGGTAGTAATTTGACAGAAAATGAATTATTGGATTGACCCTTTCATTGTCTGGCAAATATATTCAGCTGGAAAAGAAGGTGGAGGATGCGGCGCAAAGAGGCAAGAGCCGACCCTATATAATCGGCCTAGTAATTACAGACTAATGTCATGACAGCCTTTTTGCAATTGTGGGGGATCTGATTCCAGGGTGGCAATCTGACGTCAGTGCATCTTTCTCGTCACTATCTCACAAAAGAACTATGGTCCTTTCTTCCTCATTTTGTACCAACTACACACAGGCCTTTCCTCCACTCTCCTCTCGGTACCATCCGACCTCTTCTCCACCTTCGATTGCTTCCAAGGTTATTTTTCTCGCGCTTTTGCCTGTGCAATGGCAGGCCCCGAGTCGACACTGCAACTGAAAAAGTGGGTGCAGTCTTTGATTGTCGCAAGATAAGTGGCACGTCTGATGTCACGGTCCCATTGATCGTACAGGGCCCAATAGTGAGCTATCGCAGTTTCAACGGCCCATGACTTCATCGTCTAGCTGTTCGCCAGCTCTCGTGCAAATCTTCAAGCATTGTCGCTGAACCAATTTTGTCTCGAATCATTACAATGAAACGTCTGCCGGTGAGTACACGAAGGTTTGCATATGGCCCGCGTGAGTTGCATATGTCGACTGGCTGCGTATGATGCAAGTGTAGAAGAGGCCAAGAAGCATCCGATATGCCTCAACGCCTGTTTGGTATGGTGGTATGATTGTTGCGCAATGACCACATAGCTACGCCGTTGGAGACGGCCTGGAGAAGGGCTGCAGAACACTACTTCGCAAGATTGGAGCTATAAAGTACCATGTAGATGGTGGCGAGGTGGGACTACTTGAACGTCAAATTTACTAAAGTACGCCCCTATCAGATCGGCAATCTCACAAAACATGAATTTTTATCTGTCGCGTATTGTGTAGTATATTATATTGGCAGCCCCAGTCCCTTGGACTTGCCTTCGAGACAACTTCGCCAGATTGTTTCTCCCATCATCCCTCATAGTAGCCGGTGTCTTTCCCCAGACTTACCTCACCATCAGCTTTCGGATGAGTCCTCTCAACACCCACCATTGACGAGCAACACGGCTCCAATCGTTGTGCATAGAGCCGTTTCATGTACCACGAAGTACTGCGTCACTTCAATACCAGGCCATAACCAATGACCTGATAACCATGCACATTACGGAATGAAGTCAAAAGATGTCATGGTATTATATATATTCGTGCCTTACTAGTACTAGTATGATGATGCTGACTCCCCCAATTACTGCAGTCGACATCATGAATAAAGTGACAATGCTTTAACATAACACCGAGGCCCCCGGATCAATTGAATAGTTTTTCCACAACGAGTTATTATATGGTGGTAAGGTAGGACCGCAGGTATTGTGCGGACATCGAAAGGATGTCACAAATTCGATAGAGGCCTGTTATCATGAAAGAAATACCGATTGTCCCCCTTGCGAACTCAAGAACACTAGTAAATTTTCAAATGGCGAAGATTGCGAGGATGATTATAAGATGGTCGCAAGGTAATAACGTATCGAAATGCTAGAGTCTGAACACCTCATGCAACAGGAAGAGTCAACTTTTGAAGATATTTTCCCGAAGTTTCGGTAGATAAGTCACAGCGACATCGCCTCATGAAGTGACTTGCCTCCAGAACTGATTGAGGATCTGTATTGGTGTTATCAACTGTCACCCTTTAAAATAAAACGAAGACTCTTGAACAAATTAAGCTTATCCGATTCTCCTGATGCCAGAGTTCCGCTAACATTTGGAAGTAGAAACGGAAGGATGCAGACTATTCTAGTAGTAACAACAGGCGGAGCTATCTGAAGCAACAGCCTGATGATGACTGCTCCGATGGTACCAATCGACGTACCTGCCTATTTTTTATTCTTATCACCACATTGCAATGTATACCACAGAGCATGCCATCACAACCTCACCATTTGCCTACCGAAGCGAATGTGACAATATGAAAGCATACTGATTTGAATCAAATGCAGAGTAATGTGGCGCAGATGTCGACATCAACGCGGAGGCAGAAATGCTGTATCAAACTTCCTTGTGAAAGGGACAGTGTCGCGAAGACAAGCGAGAATAGCCGATGGCCAGTCTAGAACCGCTTGAGCTAAAAGAATGGTACCTCTCCTCCAGAGTCTTGCACCTCGTACGTGGCTGAGGATTACTCGGCGTAAAGAGTACTCATCATACTAGCTACACTGATCTGCAAGGATCTATCTGACAACTAGAGCTGACAAGTCTAGCCTGGAGATGCGCCATTTGGCGTTGCAACGGAGCATCGCCACAGCCACCTGGACGAAACAAGGCTCAGCGGTTAATCCTTCAGGCAATGCAAGGCTTAGCAATAAAGCAGCAAAGCAACGTTTGAGGAAGTGAGACCATCCACAAAATATTCGACTTGTTCAGCCGCGTCATCATGGAATTTTCAATGTGGGATCCAATCAAAGACACAGATCCGGCCCAGGGCATAGAATCCCGTTGCCTTTGGCGGTCATAGCACCCATTCAGGCGAGGACAACGAGCTGATATTTGGCCCAGCGGCTGGCTAAACGCCGTTCCAGACTCGCTTTTGAAGGACGCCCAGGCCTGCCTGTGGCGGGCTGTCCGAAACTTGGTGAATTGCACGTATAGGCAGTCCTTCCTAGCTGACAATACACAGAAGGATCGGCCCAAACAAGGATAACTGGTGTTCGTATCAGCATGGATCAATCGGCCACATCATTGAACATACCGAGCGTTCAGATGCCCTGGCTAACCGGGCCTACGCAGTCCCAGCCAGTTGGTGGGCTTCATGAGATCTCACACATCGAGGGTTGATCTCGCCTCTTCTGTCCCGTCTTCCAAGCCATTATCGTTGCCCGAATCTCCAGTCTCAGCCCATAGCCTGACTCGATCACATCTTGAACAGGGATCGAGTAAGGCACAAAACTGACTAATTAGGACTGGTTGGGCATGGGCGGCAGCCGTTTCCGATCACCCCAGCGAAGATGTTGTCATAGTGGTTTCAAGTAAGATGATAAGTTTAGCCTTTTGACGCGGAAAAGAGGTGGGTGTTGGTGACCTAAGTAACTAGACTAAGTGCAGTGACCTGAATCGTTTCTATGGGAAGGGCGGGTGGCCCAACAGCTCCGGCCTCAAATCTTAAATGATTCGCTGTCAGTTGCAGTTTGGCAAGATAGCGCCAACCGGGCGTCCCATGGAACCTTCCAATGTTCGGTAACTGTCCCAGGTCTAGATACTTTCCCCTTTCGACCCGAGTAAAAAATAATAGTAATTGAACCCAAACAAAAAAAAAAAAAAAAAAAAAAAGCAAACAGACACAATCACCAACTACCTAAGTACTATTTCTCAGGGATAAAAATGTCAGCTTTGCAAGGTCCTTGGTTCGGAAATAAGTTAGCGTGACAACTGCCCAAGTCAGGCATACGCTAAAACCTGGAGAGAGCAAAGAGAGAAAGAGAGAGGGGGATACTCAACCCAAAAAACTTTCTTCCCTGCTTTTTCCACCATCAACCGGCAGCACACACTGCTGTATGCGCATCCTGCATGGAATCACAGATGGTACGAACTAGTGGACCACTTTGAAAGCCTTTTCCAGCCTATCATCCCACCCCCTTCAGGGAAATTGGACGATCACAGAACGTCTAGCGGGCCCGCCGATCCCCTTGCCCATCGAATAGGGGTGCTTTGCTACCACCGACCATGACGCCCACGGAATAGCGTCACGCATCTATTTTTGTCCCCATGTCGGTTTCTGTTCTTTCCCCTCCCTTTCATCCATCATCATCATCATCATCATCATCGCTTCTCCAGACAACGCCCAAGTCGATCGGGGAACAAGGTACGAAAAAGTACCTGCGTACTAAACATAATCTAAGAAAGCTGGCAGGCATCGATGAAAATTGTCGCCCAGCTGGCTTCACTAACTAACTTACATCCTACGACAAATCTCAAATGTCCGCCTAAGACTTATCACAGTGCATTGGTGTGAAAACAAGTTGTGAGCGCAGCGAATGCTAGCTAGTTGATAATTTAGTTTAGTCAGTTAGTTCCATCAACTTGTCAACAGATGCCAGCCAGGAGGAGAGGACCGTATGATCATCATCTTCATTGACTCCATAGTTATACTTTCCGGTTGTTCTATAGGTAGTTGTTGTCTATTCATCGCTTTGACATTTTCTATCAATGCATTCTCTCTGCTTATTTCCGGTAGCCGACTTATTTCCGCTACTCCGTACTGGCCGAGAAAATTGTCGCATTATTGGGTGTCTTACTCTTACTCTCCGAGGATGCGTGAAATTAAATCGCTGAAAGCCCGTTGTTCCCGGACTTGGTGCTATATTTGGTAAGTAGGGTAGTCATGAATGATTACTTATCGCCCTCCACTTTCTGGAAGACGGGCTAGGGATAGGTTTTCTTGTTTTGGTTGTAGAGGGGGGATTTTAGTAGATTCATTGTATGGTTGTTGTCATGTACTAAGTGGATAGTTAGGGATGGCTACTATTATTGACTAACTAGTATCACGTGGTGTGTTGGTACTATGGTCTGTCAACAGGACTTTACTCATGAAGCTGTGCACTTAGTAGCATCAGCTCGATGAATAGTGCCAAACAGTGCCATTCTGGCTGTTGCTTTGGACGGTGTAAGATAAGTACTACTAGTTGTCCTTTTATTGTTATGATCATGATGCTTTCACTGGTTTCAATTCGCTTGCTCTGGCGGGACTGGTTGAATACTACTCTTGTATATATAGTACTACTTTAGATCCGATCAGTGGCACTAGTACGGTGTTCAATATATACGATCTGTAACGGAACAAGTTTTTGTCAATTAGAATATCGTGCTATCGCATTGTGTTTGCCTGCTAACAACGACGTGTATTTCGCAGAGTAGCTGGGAGTTAGTGAAGAATGTGTCCGTATCGGACAATAGGAAGAATGGTGGGGATGGGAAAACTGAAGCGGGATGAAGTCAGGAGGGGCAGAATTGGCAATGACGCAGTTCATCGCCGACATATTATGCTCGATGCTGGTTGTTTTGTTGAAAGGCAACAGCGATTTCTAGACTTCAACAAATTTCTCCCTCACCGATCGTGGAGTTGATTGTTGGTTGTTCACTACTACGAAGCAATCTCGGTATTTGGATGCAGTTGAGAGGTAACAACTTCCCAGACCGACATGACCGTAGAGAAGCCAGATTTGCCACCGGATTAACTCCGTAGAGTTAATGATTATTCCCTCAGTCGCTTTTCTTCGATACAGTGTCAAGATTGAGGACGAAGTGGTGAATGCTGCCGCCAGTGTGCATGACTCACGGGTTCAACTCAATACCCCGCTGTTGCTCATACTGCGACGGTGTACTCCGTTCTGCCGACCAGCGAGGGCCGGAGAATCGACTGTCTTCGAGAATCGGCGAAAGGGGGATTTCCTAGAACAAATCCTCCACCCGCGCAGTTAAGCCGGAGGCAACAGTGGAGTAGCAACTCTGCACACGAGTATCCCACGTATCTCGTCCCTGATTTCCCTGTCTATGTTTTCTCCATTCGGGAAGAGACACTATGAGCGCCGTCGTTCATTGGCTCGAGCCATGTTCAGACACGATAGCCGGTTCCAGAAACGGCGCTTTACCCGTTCGGGGACACACTATGGACTCCTACGGTGCAGTAGTCGGTCCATAGTGGTCACTTCAACTCCGTAGTATCGTCATCGCTTGTTATGCCTCAAAAAAGCGGTGACACTGCAGTGGGCTCGTGGTGGGTGCTGGAACTCTGAAACAACGGTGGAGGAGCGGTTGACCGCCAAAAGCGCTTGCCTTCGGTGAGAGCATGAGGGGGAGCGCGTTCCTAAGCCATCATGATTTGGTTAGATTTAATCATCGTGTTGGCAGGGTGGAGGTGAAACGCCAGCACATAGACCAATCCATCCGCAGCAACCCTTAGTCACTTACAGCGTTCCTCGACTAACTCATTGAGTAAGTAGTATGATGGACTAGTTGATCCCATGGACCAACTGTTCTTCCTATCCCACCGTGGGTGAACGATTAATAGTAAGTACTACGTATGTAGTACTAGTAGTAGTCAAGCTGTTCTCTCAGCTGTCAGTGGTCTAGTATTGATTGGGAGAGAGTCACGTGATCACGTGACCTCTGGTCTCCCTTCCCGCGTATTGGGCGGCATCTTCATTCGCCCCACACATCCCCCCTTCCCCAAAATGATCGGTCCATCGTCGATAGTCTTGAGATCGTCCGGTCACGGCGCCAGAGGAAGATCCGGGAAATATTCTAGCAGCTGGATTTACGAAAGATTTTCGTCACCTCTCTGGTACGGCGCTCCATAGCCACCATACCCCTAGAGACCACAGGGTGGGCAGACTACTGTCAGCAGTCCGTGTCAAGAATTACCTGATCCAGCTCGTGTCATTCTTGGACGGCCATGTGCAGACAACGCCGGCCAAACCCTGGATGTCTTCCGCGTGGTACTGCGGGTTGTTCCGGGGACTGTACCCAGGTTACTGCCGCTTGCCTAAGTTGTTGCTATATACTATGACCACCGGCTTCTTCTTTTGCAAGATCTAGAGCCACGAAGAATGGGATGCCTGGGGTCGACAACAAACCCAGTTGATACCCAATCGCCCCTTGGAGTTTGCTCATCTAGACTCGACTCCAAAGTGTCGTGTCCAGACACAACGTAGAGAAGGTTTGTGCTCAACTGTTCAGGAGATCTTACTTCTCTCAGTTATTCTGCTGCCCGCGCCTGATACGACAACAAGCGACCGTGATAAGGGACAACTTGAGTTCCGGCTGGCTCGTCATCTGCAAGCGCATCACCAACTGACGGAGGAGTAAGACCAACTAGAGTTGGCCGTGACGAGCACCGTGGTAGTGTAGGAGTATGTACGGAGTATGGGGACGAGAAAAGCCCGAACGGGTGTAGCCTGACATCGACGTGGCAGCCGTAGAGTCGAGGGGGGGAAAGTTGGTAGACTTCCCGGGTGCTTTGTACGGAGCAGACGGGCGCAGGAGGCCTGCCACTGGCCACCAACCGGACCGTTGGTACATTGCTCCGCCGCAGCAAGCCACTGCTGGTGGGAGGACTACCATACTCGGGTACCTCAACCTGGAGTCACTGTTCCTACCTTAGACTCAGTAGGTACCTGAGGCTTGCGGAACCACTGCTGGGGAAACAGGCCCAGGATTCTTTCAAGCCCATGTACCGCCGTAGGCGCTGCAGCAGACCGGGTACAGCGTATCAAAGTCCAGCAGAATTGGACTGGTGCAGCCGGTCCCCATAATAATAACTAGACTAGCTTGGGACTCCATAGGAGAGTTGGTCATTGTCGGACTCCGTACAGTAGTAAGATTAGTAGTAATAATAATCCCGTGCACATAACCCATCATAACCACTCGGATGACTGATCATGACCCTTCCAGCGCAGCAGGTGCTTTTGCTGGTCCGGGTCGATGACGATGGAATCCGTTTCGCTGCCTCACTTTGGGGCGCACACACCGTGTTTGTCCTTCCACTGCGACTCGTCCGATCGATGTGTCTAACCCGTTGCAACCAGGTCCAATTCGGGCCTCTGTTGAACAGTCAGCGTGTCACCCTCCCCTTGACCTTTCCCAGTACTAGGTCTAGTCCTGATTTGGGAGGTGGTGTGTCTTCCCATTTTTTCCTTTGCTGACTGAGGACCGCCATTACTGGTCTGCTGGACGTGGGTTGGTCGTGTTCTCTCCCTCCTTCCTTTTCCTACTTCTCTTTCCTACCTTACAGTGCTTAGTGTGCTTTTCACCCATCTCCCAATTTTACTCTTTCCCTTTCCCTATTCCCTCTCCCCCCCCAGAATTAAAGTAAAAAAAAAATAATACTGACGGCCACTGGTTAGTACCTAGTTTTAAGTGGTCTCTTCTCTTTTCGGCACTAGCGCTCTGATCACCATCTTCGGCCCAGACGGTGAATCGATTTCCCCCTCCTCCCTCCTTCTCTTTCCCCAAAAATCACAACCGTGGACCATGATAATTATTTCCTTTTTTCTCTATTTTAATTTTCTTACCTCTTTCACTTCTTCTTGTTTTGGTTCGCTCACACTTTCCCCCCCACCTCTTCTTCATCATCCTGATACTTTCCCTTTTTGGGAAAAAGTAAAAAAGAAAATGAGGGAACAGAAGGAAACACAGATGGATAATAAGAAGAAGAATTAAATAAAAAAGGAATCAAAATGAAAAGTCAAAATGGGAGATCAAAATGGGGAAAGCAAAAACTATCAAATGAGAATTAAAGAAATCAGTCACCCAAATCGAGAAAAATCATAATACTTCCATACTACTACTTCCTAAATTACTACCTAATTCAACTCCTCTCTCCCCCAAAAAAAAGTTGCGAGAGAGATCCTGGCCATCCCAAGAGGGTCTGGACTCATCTGGGAGGCTTCCAATCCCTCCCTCCATCTTTCCATCCCCGCCCAGTTTCAACCTCTCGATGGGCCATGAACTCCCTAAACTAACCTGCAACTACTGCTTCTCCTTCTGACGGATCTTTTGTTCGCTCATGCTCGTTCCATCCACCATTCGTACCTTACCCATTTTCTCCCCTTCCCTTTTCTGCCTTCCCTCCCCTCCCCTCCTCTTGCTTTCTGCTTTCCTCCTAATCCATTCTCACCTTAGTTTCATCCTTGACCCTCTCCGGACCTTTCGACCAACCCGGGTGTGGGGATGGTGGATGCTCCATTTAATTGATAACCTCTTCCCACCTCATCTGCCTCCTCGTTCTTTATCGTTATCGTCATCTTCCTTGTCAACATCCATCTGGCACTTCCCATTGTTCTCTTACTCCACCGCGCCTTCATATATCTCCTCCCCCCATCTGTCTCTCTCTCTCTCTCTTACCTACTCTCTCCTCCTCCCTCTTCATCATCTCATCTCATCTCATTCAACAACTTTCCCTTCCCATACTATTTTACCTCTCACCACCCTTCTATCTTATCTGTACCGGCCTTGCTCCCTTCTGCCGTGTACTCCTCTTTCTACACTTCACTGCCTGCCCCGCTGATCTCAGTGTCTATCGGGCTATTCTCTAACTACTCCCTACTACTCTCTATCTCTATATTCCAGTCAGTCTTTCCCCTCTCGTGGTCGCTCTGAGGTGCAAGTCACCAAGAGGATTTCCCTTGCCATACATATACTAATTCGCGCTAGCTCTAGAGATCCTCTCCAATCCCCTGAAGTCACTTGATACTGATAGCAGCACCTCCCTCCTCGCTCATCCTACGTGAGAAGAGGCAGCACTCAGCGAGGACTTCTTCACCCACTATGGCTGGCACCATGGCCGACGACGAACTCTTCACACGGGCCATCTCTGGGTATCGGGACGCTTTCTTGGATCGACACTCCCATCTTCCGGAATCAGAGCGAAACGAACTTTGGAGTCAGCGGTTAAGTCAGTTCATGACCACCACGGCCTCCTCTTCCATATCCTCTGTCGCCTCGTCCAGTTACCGCCCGGTTCCCGGTTCTGGTCTTCCTGAAGATGGCGGTGCGGCTCTCGAGAAATCTGGGAAACGGTTACGACAGGATACCCCCCGGACCCTACCTGGTTCTGGTCTTCCTCCACCGAAACGACGAGTCACCGTATGTGATCTATCTTGGTCTTCTGCTCCCGCCTCTCCTCCATACCTGCGTTTTTACCCATTTTGTCCCTCCCGCGCTATTCCATGATCTTCTTCTCTTCTGTCATCTCCCGCCAACAGTCCTTGGATTGACACTTGGCAGACTCCGGAACCTCCAGTGACCGTTGATCTGACGCGCGAGCTGTCTCATGCGTCTTCGCCGGCGGCTCCTGAGACTACTCGACGCCTCTCAAGAACGAATTCTCGGAAAGGCAGCTCGGTCTCTTACTCTGGTCCTGGGCCCTCCTCCCGGCACACGGCTATGGTCCGCTCGCAGAGTCAGCAGATACCGGTTGCTCACCGTCCGTCGCTGACAACCCCTGCAACGGGCTTTCGACACTCCTATGGACCCCAGCGTGTGCAGCGCCGCCTTGACCATGTCAGCGAGTACACGCCCTCCGAATACGCTAAACAGTACTTGGATGATTTCCAAGGCCAGGGACACGTCTCGGCACTTTCTATGGCGCTTTCTGCGGATTCGACGATGTCTGGACTTCGGCAAGAACCCCAGTTAAATCAGGGCCAGCCTGACCTGATGGCGACGAATTTCACAGCCATGTCCAACCCCACCATGATTGAGCAGCCCGTCCAGCCGGCTGCCGTGGAAATGAGCAGGAGTACCACTACGGACTCGCTGTGCGGAGGTTTGGGGATGATGAGATTCGATTCCTCGGGACCGAATCTGGACTCCAATTTCTCATTTTCCGTTCCCTCTGAATTCGTCACCTCCACCTCCCCCTTGAACGTCCCCTTCCCTGCTTCTTTCTCATCTATGCACCGACACCCAAACCCCGAAGTCCCCCTCCCCTTCACTGAGCCCTCTGGCTCAATGTCATTTTCTTGCTCCGCTCCATCCTCTACATCTTTCCATCCACCCATTCCTACACTTTCTCCGTCCACTGCGACGGAGATGAGGCCTTCTATGTCTGTCGAGAGCGACAGCTCGTCTCTCTCCCAGCCATCGAGGGCGGCTCGCAGGACTCAAGAACAGATCGTTCAGGGTACTCGACCCATTGCTCCCAAAGCCGAGCCACACAGCAGCTCACCCCCCAAGGTGGCTGAGCAGCACAAGATGATTCGCATTTCATCGTCGGATGGTACTGCCAAAGAGGTTGCAGCCATTCCCAAGGCCTCGATACAACGGCCCCCACGTCCGAAGACGTACTGTAACATGTGCAACGACCAGCCGGATGGCTTTCACGGAGAGCACGAGCTGCGTCGACACATTGAGCGGGTCCATGCCGTTGTTCGCAAGGTTTGGGTTTGTGTTGACATCTCCCCTGGCAAGACATTCCTGGCCAACTGCAAGGCTTGTCGGAATGGCAAAAGATACGGTGCTAACTACAACGCTGCCGCTCATCTTCGTCGCACCCACTTCAACCCGTGCCAAAGAGGCCGTGGTGGTCGTGGCAAAGACAGCGAGAAGCGCGGCGGCAAGGGCGGTGGAAACCATCCTCCCATGGATGTCCTGAAGCATTGGATGGTGCAGAAAGAGGAGATCGTCCTCGAAAATGCCCAGAACTATATTGACCAGGATGCGCTAGGCGATGACATGGCGGCTGCTCCGCCTGCGGCCTCCGAGGACATTGCGTTCTCTGGATTGCCACAGACGTCGGTCGAAGATATCTCTTCCCAGGGTATGGACTCGACATTAATGAACGGATTTGAGTCCTTCACTGCGATGCCGACGATGGTCATGGACCCATCGATGGATGCTGCTCCTTGTTACTTCGATTCTCAGACGTTACCACCTGAGATCGATTCGTATGTGTGATTGTATAAACCTCATCCCAGCGGCTGATCGCTTTCTCATTTACCTCCCCTGAGGGGCTTGAGACTAGATCTTTGGTTACTCATGGGTTTCTTGTTGATACTATACATCTTGAACCTTGATTTTTTTGGGGCTGTTTCCATATTCTTCACATTGCACTTTTCACCTATATTTCGTGTGATAAATTCTCACTGGCTTTTCTTTTCTTCTCATTTTCTCTATTCTCATTTCTTTCTTCCTGTTCCTTATCTTTCCTCTTCTAATTCTTCTCCTACCATTTTTTTTTCTCATTTTTCCCCTTCTTCTTCTTCTTCTTCTTCTTTTCTTTCAGTGATTCTTCTATCTTCTATCTTCTCTTCTCTTCATTCTTCGGACTCCAGAGGGCCGACCAAGTCGACCTGGTGATGCCCCTGATGGGCGCTACGACATAATGTGTGATGATGAGCAGTCAATCAGCCAGTCTCAGATTCGTGAAATATATTGAATTAATGCACGTCGTGCATGAGAGCCACGGTCCCCCCGAGTACAAGCCTCGGAACTAGGGTATGATGGGGAAGACCACTGCCAACTTTGCAGGACCTAATTTTTGGTAACTGCAGCCTACTCTTGCTAAAGGATACTAAGATACGCAGGGACCCTGCTCGAAGATGCCACGGGCGGTGACCGTAAGGTAGGCGGTGCAGGTAGGCGGTGACGCCGGGCGTGGCTTTGTGCCGGCACCCGACTGCCACGAAGTTGGGCGCAGTGATTGGGCGCAATTTTAGGGGTCTCATGAGCGCCGGGGGCATGCAGTGGAACTGCAGGGCAGCCCTCCTGCCAATGATGGCGGCGATCCTTCGGCCAGCCGACGACGGTTGGCTGACAACTAACCTTTCATTCCCTGAGCCATCGCCCGTGGGCAATGGCAGTGGGGCGCAACCCCGAACACCAGGGCGGTGATTGGTAGGCAGACAGTGCTGGCCCCGACCGCTGAAGGGGTGTCCGACAGTTGTTCCAGGACAAATTCTCCAGATCAATCATTGCAGGAACTGTCGTGGCTGGTGCCTAGCGGTAACTGGGTCCTGTAGGGCTGCGCTAATGTGGCTGAGTCCGGGCGGTGCTGCGTATGAGACCAGTATGTATGTATTGTAATTATGGGCTGACGGTCCCCTTCGGTCGGAGAGGGAGAGCTGGTTCTCTCTCTCTCTCTCTCTCTCTCTCTCTCTCTCTCTCTCTCTCAGTTCAATTTTCTCTGCACTTTGAAGGAATCACGACAGATGAGCACTTAGCTTTAGATAGCACTTGTTTCGGATTCAATATTAATAATTTTCCATTCTTTTCTCTCAGTCACTCATCGGTTGCTTTTCCCTGTTTCAGGCTGGGTAGACATGGGCGGCTAGGATTTTCTGGCGCCCTTCTAATTGGGGGTGGGGGCGTAAACAGGATTGCACTACTGCTCACTATTGGCTCGTGGGACCTTGATTGCTGTAAGGTATGTTACGAGAAGAAGAGCAGGGGAAGTGAATGGAGTGTAATTTTCTTAATAAGTGGTCTTCCCTTCTCTCTCTCTCTCTCTCTGACTGTCTGACTGTCTTCCTTTCTCTCATCTACCAACCAAAACCTTAAAAAGACCTGAACGGCGGCTCAGCGATCTTCTCCTCTTTCTCCGCCTCCTTTCGCCTTTCCAACCCCTAGCGATCGTTCCTCTTCCTGCTTTTCTACCCTCTTCCTCCTCCCCCCTTTCTTACCTTTCCGCTTTCCATCGACTCCGTTTAGAACTCGGCGTTGTCTTAGGTACGCTTATTTCCCTTTTATTGGCCAACGCAAGGCTGGGCTTCCGTCCTCCGTCCACTCACTCATCCTCTTTCTCCTTCTTCCATCCGCTACTGTCAACTGCCAAGTTCACCACGCTGACCCAGTCCTATCTTTTATTCCTACATACAGACTCTTTTCCTTCACAATGAGCCATCCCGGATACTACAACGGCCCTCCTCCCCCGCCCCAGGCGTGAGTCTTCCCGCCCTTCATTGCGCCTCATCTCCTGTGGTTTTCGCACCGGCCATTCGGATTCAAAGCGACCGCGGCGTGTTGGTTCAGGAACCCGTCTTGAGACTGGCTTTTCACCAAGCTTTTCGACACTGGTCTTTTTCTTCCTGGGCTGGCCAGCGGTCGCAGAATGTCTCCTTAGATCATACCCGAATTTGCGCAATTGTTCTGACTTGGTCTCCGCACAGGTACCCTCCCCAGGGCTATCCGCCTCCGCAGGGTGGTTATCCTCCCCAGGGATACCCCCAGCAGCCCTACCCTCCGGTATGTGATCCCAGTGTTATATTCAGTCATGCGCTCGGACTCTGACCGGACAACAGATGCAATACCAGCAACAGCCCCCTCCCCAGCAGAAGGACCGCGGATGTCTCGGTGCCTGGTAGGCCTCACCCTTGCTGAATTTTGTCGCACCGCATCTTACTAATCCGACCGTTTTTACCATCTAGCCTGGCGACGCTCTGCTGCTGCTTCTTGTGTGAGGAGTCCTGCGAATGCTGCTTCGAGTGCATCGAGTGCTGTGAGATGTGTTAAGCTGTGATCGATTACGGGTGCTACCTCGAATGTAGCGAGGGCTGCGCGACCAACCGAGCTCTCACGATCGATATACGACCTCGACGATACGATAAATTCCCCTTTCATCGCGTGCTACACTAGACCGGTCGAGTCCAGGGGCGCCGGGAAGCGCTGCTGTGACAGCTCCAGTTGCTACGCGGTTTTTGCCTATTTTCTTGTTAAATTACCCATCGCGTTACTGTTGTCTTCCTTCTATTCTCCTTTCTGTTCAATATGGTGCTCCCGGATATATGTGTTTAGGAACCCGGGGTGGTGCTTGGAACGGGGAGGGAGGTGAATCATCCTCTTTGCTTCATGGCGCTTTTCTTAATTGATGACTTGTGAACTTTCCCCCTTTTGCCGCGTTGGCTACCCCAGTAATTGCCATCATCCGTGATATGTATGTCCCCTCATCTGTGCATGGTATTCCCCACAATGTGATACACAGTGTAGACTGCATTTGAAGCATTTACCTTTGATGAAGAAAAATCCTGGACATCTTGGCAGAGTCTGCACCTTGTCATGCCTAGGGGCACCTGCGACTCTAGTTCCCTTTCCGTCTGAGCTTGAATCCAAAGCCAAGCCCACCGCCAGAAGAGTCCAACCAATAACGGTCTCTCCGATTGGTGGTACCGTTCAATCTGGCAGAGCGGGTTTGGGCTAGGCAGCACTTATAACTAATGCGCTGTCCCGATGCTTCTGGCCCAGCTGAGTGGATCGCTGCCTACACCCACGAGGCCCTGCAGGAGTAGATCGTTCTTTCGTTGTACGTAAGTAGATCGAGATTTTCGCACTTGACGTAACTTTTTTCACCTATAAATACTACCTTATGGAGCATCGACCATTTTCTATGGGCTTGGCTGCAGATTAGAGGGGGAGGTATACTTCTCTCTGCTGGGTAGGTAGCTATCTATGCAAACCATGATGAATAGTATAAACAAAGGCTGTCAGTGTGAGTATAGATGTGCACGTGGATTGAGCAGGTAGAGGAATGAAGCACATTAACGCTTCATTTATGTCATAAAACAAAGCCTAGTATAAAAGCTTCATGATTGCTCGCTTGGGTATATTCTTCACAAGTAGTACGTAGCAGTAGTAGGAGGAAGTAGCAGATGAACAGTTCATATTGATGTCAATTGATAAAGAGGCTATACTATGTATCATCATACTACTTTGGTGGCCTAGCAGTTATTCTCTACTAATGAATACACTCCATCACCAATGTAGAATATCATACCTCAACCCTAAAAACCACCATCAAGATTATCCCACTCACAACAACCAACACCCCCGTCATCTCAAGTCCAATAACCTCCACAAAACTCCAAGGAACCAGAGCCAGTTGCCTCTCTGGACTCTTTCGCACCGGCTCAAAATACACCGCCGATGTGACTGCCAGAAAAGCCAAAACCCAGATATACCCAAGCACCTTTTTCCAAATCTCTGGCTCTTTTTGACTATTAGTACTACTTGCCTCCGAGGTTGATGAATCCTGAAATCTTTTCCTCCACACAGCCTGGACACCATCTTCAACCATGTACCCAAGCACGAAAGATAAGAAAAACACCATAGCGCCAGACTCGCGCATCGGTTTATTCCTTACCACGTCCGAAGCAAGGTGTAGAATACCCGAGAGGGGGAACACACAAAACACATTGGTATATCGCTCCAAGAAGGACGATATAGCCAGTCCGAAAACATCACGAGTGATGTAGTTGCTTATGGCAGTGAACTTAATGCGGAGAATTTGATGCCAGAATTTTCTGTTCGAAAGGTGTTAGTATGTGTATACTAATGATATATATCACCTTCAACCTCTCCAGATACCTATCCATACTCGCCCTCGACTTGGTGGTATAATCCGGTACCGGAACATGAATACTCGCCAGCGATTTGCGGGATTTGTCTGCCCAGTTGAACCCATTAGGAAAACAGCCGATGAAGGCTTCGAGGGTCATCTGCTTGTTAGTACCTTCTTGTTTGTCATTATCTCGTAGGGAAGAGGGCTGTGGTGGCAAAAGAAAGAGGAAATCCTCCTCGACCTGCCGGCCGATGATAGCGAGGGCTTCTTCTGCGTCAGATGGAGGTGTAGTGGGGATGGTATTATCGGTTACCATATCTCTTAGTATGGTAGTAGGTGCTGATGCTGATGCTGATGATGAAGTGCTAGTGGTAGTAAAGACACGTTGGAAGATAGTGCTGTATCGTTGAGGCAGGTAGTCATTCATCAGGAAAAAGTATAGTTCTTTGACGGCTGCGATAGAGCGAGGACTGGCGTCGAGGACGAAGGCTCGTTTGTCTTGGATTAGTGTCGTGCGGAGTGTGATGCGGGAGAGGTAGTGTATGTCGACTTAGATCGGTTCGGAGAGGCTTACTCGCTCAATGCCTGGTTTTCGTTTGTTACTTAGATGTTGTGTATGTCATAGGGTTGGGTGAGATGTTGTGGGCTAGGGCTGGTGATGATTAGAGGATGGAGTGCGTTAATCTGTCCATTGTGATGTGATAGCGAGGTTTGAAAGGTCGGAGGATTAGAGGCTCGATTTTGTCCCATTAGAAGTCGTTGAGGGGTTCGATGGGAGATGTAGATGCCAGAGAAGAGCTGGTGGTCTTCTGCTCTGCTTGTGAAGGCTTCTGGATTTCCCCTTTCTTTCTTAGGAGCCATGCCAGGAACAGTAGCACTAAGGCTAAAGTAGAGACTTGAAATTAGCATCATTTTGTTGTGAAAGGGGAGCCCGTAAGGACTATTAGTACTCCTGTAGTGGAAAAGGTGAGGAATCTCATCATGCATTCAAAAGGTAGAAAACGAAAGTAGTCAAGATATACTTACTAGAACTGTTCTATGAGAGATGCTGGAAACAGGAAGGAATCAGTCCATGTATATGTGATATAAAACCCTTAATAGTATGTGAAATGGGTGGATTTTGCTATACTAAGTGCTATATCGGTGTTCATATGTAGTCTATAGAAGAGGAGCCCGAGGTTGTGCGTGGATGGTGCAATGCAAAGATAGTAGTTAATAGGCTATAAAAGCTACATACGGTCTTAAATCATATAATTTTTATAAAATTAGGATTTTTTCCATAACTCTTAAGAGTATACTAGTATAGAATGTATTCAACTTGATCATGATTATTATCAGTCACACATGATTACTATGAAACCTTTATACCAACTATATATTCCACATATACTATCTATAAAGATTAGTATTAGTAGTACCCCCACAAAAGCAGCGGCGCCCGTACCAGGTTAGCAAATCAGTAGGTATCAAGATCACCAAATCAGGAAACTATGCCCGCCGTTGTGCCAGTCCAAACATAGCAATAAAATGCACCTGTGGTAGGAGTCTGTGAGCACATCTGATCACGTCCATTGGTTCTTTAATCCTCTCCACCTGGAGACCGATACTAAGCGATGATAAATACCCCGTGCTCACGGCAATAGTAAACAGCACGATGATCTAAACCGTTATCTACTTATCTGATCAAAGTCGATGGGATCAAGTCGGCCGGGAAGTTCTATCGAACGAATTATCAAAACCCATCCACTGATCTCTCTTCCCCACTTACCGGACGGTTGGGGCTCGGAATCGTTCCGACGGGGTGTATGTCGCTACCATTAATCTTTGAAATTCCAAGTAGATGTTTACTAGTAGGAGTAACGGTAGATGTTGAAGTGAAGTATAGATGAGATTGTATAATTTCGAATCGGCTTTGAAATCATTTGGTTACGAAGACCAAACTACTATCTACTATCATACTTCAGTGGAAAATAACGATACAGTCATTGTGTCTCATCAATCATCAGTCAAGTTACATACAAGATAGTAAACTAGATATCTAAGCGTGGCCCGTGATAATGCCTTTTCGCATAAGCAAACCAGTTCCCTACGCCCAAGATCAACATAACGACTAGCACGACGGAAGCGTAATCTAAAGCAATTTTCAAGTGTTAGGAAAGCGTACTCCTTATCATAAAGCAGGTAGATAGTAGGAAAGTAGAAGAAACACGTACTCATGTTACTCCCCGTAACGGGAAACTCCGTCGGAAAGCAAAAGAAGATCGTCAGAATGAAAGCCCAGATAACGCAGACAACGTTGCAAACGTAGCCTAGTACATTAGGAACTTTAAATGGGCGGTCTGGAGGAAGGTAACGCGGATTCCGCCCGCCAACGAGGAGAAGAACTGCTGGGATGGCGTAGGAGATTTGGGCTACCACGACAGTGGTGCTGATAAAAGCGTTGAATGCTGTTATTTCTATGTTAGATCCTATGTAGAGGATGATCATCTGGGCAAAGGCTTAGGCTTACCTGTTGTTGAGCAGACATAGACAATCCCGACCAGAAGCACTGCCACACCATCAAGGATAATGGCCCAAACGGGGACTCCGAGCGTAGGGTGTATAGAGGAGAGAAAGGAGGAAAAGAATAGAGCGTCATCGCGGGCAAAGGACCATGTAAGTCGAGAGGCAGTCTGATGGACTGCGTTGAGTGCCACGAAGGAGACGACAAACAGTGCAGCCATGAAGACGGTCGCAGCTGCTGGGGAGTGAGTGGCTTTTTCCCAGATGAAGTAGATTGGAAACCTGTCGGTTTCCGGTAAGTAACTTTTCTTATTCAGGACTTGTGGCATACGTACCCCGTGGAGGTGGTTAGAGATGCTTCGATGTTGTCATAGCTGTATAGGATGGCGATGGCAAAGGGGAAACCTGTCAAAAGCCCCACTGTCACTGTGACGAGCATCGCCTTTGGCACGATGCGTGCGGGTTCGAGACATTCCTCTGCGAGGTGGAGTGCGGCGTCGAGTCCGGAAAACATGAACTGAGGCGTTGAGAGTCCTGTCAAGAAGGAGACGCCGTCCGGCCAGCCGCCTGAACCGTTGACGAACTGACTCCAAGTTTTCGAGGTGTTGATATGTGCGGAAGAGCGTACCGGGCAGGTTATGATAATAGCTAGGAAGGTTGAAATGGACAAAATGACTGCATGATGAGGAGCAGTGTATCAGTATTGTCTTCTGCAAATTGGAAGGGAGCTAACTAACAGCCTAGGTTGTAGACCCAGAGAGTCTTGTTGGTGAGGAAGATGTTGTAGGTGACCATAACTGCGTTCAGCAGTTGGTATACTAGGAAATAGTGCCAGCTTTGGGCTTCATATGAGGGCTGCCACCGGATGACAATAGCCATGAGTGCCTCTGTTCCGGCCAGCGCAATAGAGGCCCCAAGGGTAACCCATGCAAACACTGCAGCCATGCCACTGAAGTAAGACAGGCCACGGCTCCATCGTTTAGACGCCAGGATGGAGGTAAAATGGTACTGGCCACCAGCAGTGGGGTACACGCTGGCCAGTTCTGCCAAGGTAACCCCGGTACAGAACATGGCAGCAGTAACCAGTAGAATGCCATACAGTAGGGAGACTGCGCCGCCCGACTGAATTGCGATAGCAAAGCTCGTGGCTATGGCCACCCAGCTATTCGTATTGTTGTACCCCAGGGCAATGATACTGACTATGCTGAAGTTTCGCTTCAGGTGCATGTCCGGGATGCCCGTAAGGGCAACCTGCCCCTTGTCCATGTCGACTTCAAGGTCTGCCGATGCGGCATACCCGGGTTTCGAGTGCGAGACCTTGGTATTTTCCGACTCCATGGCCTCTTATGTTGTCTGCCGTGTGATGGGGCACTGCAGAATCAATATACTTCAAGTGGAGGATCAGCCATCTTATGAATCCTTCCTACGATGATGGCCCTAGCTCCGCGTCCCCAGAAGGGACCTTGACAGATGTAAACCTCGATTACGATAAGCATCCCAGGTCGATAAGATCAAAGCGGTGGAGACTGATTTTCCTTGAATCAACCTATTCATCCAGGCCCGATACGGATGACTGATGACTGATACCCAAGATATCCCGGAACGCTTATCGAATTCCGAGACCTGTTATCACGTCCCGTCCAACGAAAAGGGAGTAAAAGCAAGACCATCCCCAGATTAAGGTTAGGGACATCCATCATAGCGGAACTAAGGCGGAATTGCTCATGAACTGGAGGTGATCGTCGACGATCGTGCGGGGGAAAAATGCGGCTAACCATGCTATAGCGTCGTGGAGCTTGCCCTATATCTCCAGACTCGCCGCCAGCGCTGTCAGGAGGGTAGCTTCCCCGCAATATCCCGGCAAAGAGAGTTTGGCGTTTATGGCATCTATTGGTGTTTCACTGCGGTAATCCATGGTGTGGGAGCTGCCTCAGAGTAGCTTTCCTCGGTAGACGGGGCTTTCTCCGCATTGCGGAACGGATCCTGCTGGGCGCATGGGATAGATTGAACATCTAGAACCCAAGCCGAAGCGGGTAATTAAAAGGGCATGATTGCACTAGAATCCAAAAAGAGTGTATTTATTCAAGTCTGCTTTTTTGGCGATTGGACGTCTCCTTCATAACCAGTCAGCTATCTGGTACGTCCAAAAAGACCATCCTGTATGGGTGGTCTCAAACAAAAAGTTCCTGGCCCCTTCTCTCGTGAGCTAATTGACATCTGTCTAGTTCTAAGTTTGCGAAGCCGCGTCCCCCAAGTTCAAGCTGGCGGTCATTTGTCCACCAGACCTACCTTCCCCGAGAGTCGCCACTTCGGCCCCGCATCTCATCCAGGTACTGGACGGTCCGCGTTCCAAACGGCCTGTTTTTTAGAAGCGAGCCAGCGTGCGACTTACGCGTAATCTACGCCTCGCTGGAGCGATGAAGGCCCTTTCCGCGAGTGAAGAGTGCCGCTGTAGCAGCAACGAATCCAAAACACGCTGACGCCAAGAACGACAGTCGGATGCCCCGGTAGTAGACCATCCGCGCAGCCAGCTGGATCTCTGGTGGCAGACTATGGATGGCAGACACTGAATGTCTGATGTCGTCGATAACCTGTGCGAGTAGCATAACACTGATCAGCCATTGTTTCAGGATATTAGTAAATCCACAGGGAGGAGAGTTACTTTCCATTTGTCAGGTATTCCACTCAAGGCCTCAGCGAGGCCTGAGCGCAAGGTGTTCTGGATGATCGTGGACGTAATGGCGACGCCCCACACCGTACCCATCGAACGGACCAAATAGACGGTGGACGCTGAAACGGCATGGTCTGACAAAGTCAGTCAGTTAGTTTAACTGTTTATTCAGAAGCTCCCCTCTGTCAAAGGAAAGGGAAGTGGCGGCAAGGTGCTCATACCCGCGTGATCGAATGCGGCAAGAAACGTGAACAAAATCCCTGGGTAAGTGATGCCTTGTCCAAGACTGGCGGGGATCATGGCCACGTAGTACTTCCACTCTGCGTCGTTGAACTGAAGAAGCATCACAAGTATGTTGCCAACGCACATGAGAAACGAGCCTGTACGGACTAGGTAGGCCAGTTTACCCCAGCGCGACATCACGTAGCCAGAGATCACACCACCAATCGGAGTAGCCAGAGATGGTACAGCAAGTCGAGCACCAGCTTTAGAAGGGGAATCCAAAAGGATTACCTGAAACAGTAATGGAAGCGTGAAAAGGAACTTTGACAGTCAGCAGTGAACTGGGATACCTGACAGAAGGGTCGCTCACCGCATAGGCAGCCATTCCCACACAGACATTGGCAACCTGCGTAGCAACAGGCAGAACGCCTTTCAACATTCGAGGGGGGATCAATGGAATCGCAGTTGTCCTCGCTTCGATGAGTACGAAAAGGCCCAGTGATAATATACTGGCCACGAATGACAAGATCACCCATACGCTGGACCAAGGGAGCTCATTTCCACCCAAGCTAAGACCAACCAACTGCGTTGAAAGTCCAACAATCAGAGCACAAGCTCCAGACAAATCGACATATTTCCAGATTGTCCGCAGACTTCTGCCTTCACTGGCAAACTTGTCTTGCGTTGGAAGATTCAAAACAAGATGACCCGTAACCAGAGCTAGAAAGCCGACTGGTACTTGTAATAGAAAGCACCAGCGCCATCCCACTGAATCGACAATGGTTCCTCCAAACGATGCGCCGCAGATGGACCCGAATCCATGCATGACGTTCTGTACGGCCTGATACATTCCGCGACGGCGGAAAGGAATGAGATCGGAGTTGATTATAGTAGCTGAACCATGTTAGTCACTCGTCTGGGAGGTTGACAAGTGAGAGGGGGGAGATTTGCGAATGTATACCCATTGTCATCAAGCCTCCTCCGCCAATGCCGGTCAGCGCTCTCATCAGATTCAGAAAGACGATATCTTTAGCAATCCCACAACCCAGGCAGCCGATCATGAAGGTTATTGTCGCTGTAAAGAAGGAGGTCCGGCGACCGAAAATGTCTGAGAAGCGACCATATAGTGGCTGGAATGCGGTACTAGTAATTAGATAGGAGGTTGTGAGCCACGAGGCGGTGTTGGCTGCGTTGAATTCGGAACTGATCACAGCATAGGTTGAGGCAGTGATGGTGCCGTCGAAACCCGACAGGAATACATTCGACATGATTGCTGGCAATGGGTTAGACCCCTCCTTTCATGGGTCAAGCGACAACCAACCTAGTTGAATCCAGACAAAGCCTACTGGAGGCTTCCAGAGGGCTTCAACATCGGGACGCAGCAAGGGCTGCTCCTCGTGCGGTGTGGGCGGTTTGGTGCCAGAATCGTCTCTGGCCATGGCATCGGTGGAGGATCGCTCGGAGGAAGCACGCATGGCTGGTTCGAGTGCCTTTTCTTTCGCCGTCTCTGAAGTGGCAGCTCGAAGAACTTTGCTCGTGCCCCTCTGGGTACCTGGCAATAGATAAACTGCATCGACACACAGACCCTCTTTGTGGGGATCGGCTTGTAGTGTGTAGCGGCTATGGCGCAATAGCGCAAGGATGTTGCTCACGTATGGTACCCGCTTTACCCTTAGCGAGGCTCCACCGTCGGCAGTGACAGTGACAGGGAGCACGCTGGGCTGTCAGCAAACAATTATTCCGTTTGCACCTATCAAGTCTTGCTAAGTACTGCAGATCCCTCGAGGGGCGGCGTCAACGCCGGAAAATCGAATCATAGTACTACTCCGCTACAACTAACATTAATCAATCTTCTTCCGGGGAGACCTGCTAACACAAACATATAAAGCAACTCTGGTCGACCCCCGTACGGTGTACTAGTTCACCAGAAAGATTCCCGGATTGATCTCATTTCTCCAATCCTTCAGATCAGCCTTTCATTAAGCTCGATTCATCATCCCTTACGAGAGAGACAAATGGGTGTGTCCTTCGCCAGGCACGGGACAATATTACAACCATCGTGTCGTGATGAGCTACATATCTTCGATGTATCACTGCCATGACCTTGCCTTGACTGGGAGGCAAATCGATATATCGCTTGGGCCAAAGTTCGTCTCGCATTCGTTCATCGGATCTCTGATAGCCGACAATAGGCTACCCACACAGGTATCGAGTCGAGGAGTCTACATGGGCGTACGGTGAAGAGGCCAACTGCAAGACTCTGGAGATGCACGCTCATTGTTCCACTGAAACTCCATCTTTCACTTATTATCGTGTTGCTAACAAACAGAAGGGTTCATCTCAGTTATTCATGTCATAGGGTAAATTCCAGCCGGTTACCCGCAAAGTCTCTCGCAAAAAACCGACTCGGATATTCGATGCCCTGGGCACCTACAATGAGAAAATCAAGGTCAGCGGGTCATTAGATGAAACCAATTCGAACGGTACAGCAGGATAGAGCCGCATTCGCCAGAGAAACACCATTTCTAGAAGTGAACGAAGAGCGAGCAGGATAACATACCCGAGTTTTGCGCCCCCGGCTCATCAGCGTGCAAGGGAGCAGCATCGCCCCCTCTCTGATGATGTTCCCAGATACGCTGCTGCAGAGTCAACAGATGGTCCGGAGACCCAACTTTCAGGCAAGCGTGACGGTCGGAATGCAAATCGCTGTTGGAGCCAAAGGCTACATGAATCTGCTGGCTGCCATCCGGCGTGAGGTTGAACCTACGGCAGATTAACCACGACTGGCCCATCTTACAAAGCGAGATTTTTATTGGCCTACCATAGAAGGGTTCCTTTCTGTAGATGGGGAACCGGAGCTGATGGCAGACCCAGGGTGTTTGTGTAGAATTCCTCCGCCCGGTCGAGGGTGCCTTCCGGGACTAGGATGTTAACGTGATGGAGACCAGTAATCATATTGGCACACTTAGTTGATCTAGATTCTTTATTTCTTTATTTGGGACCACCGAAGATGCGGGGAGAACAGCAACAGATAAAATTAAAGAAGACGTGGGATCATTACCCGGGCGGGTTATTGTTGTTGTTGTCTGGATGGATCGGAATCTGATTTCCTGGCCGGTGAGGGGTTGGGATTCCCCGCGGGGTAAGAGACCACTACTACTCTTACTTAGAATAGTTGTCTTGTCTTTTATTTTCCCTTATCATATCATTCGCACAGATATGTTCCTACACCCTCATCACCTTCCAAATCGCACGTTCGATCATTCTTGATTCGATGCCATGATTGGAGTCAACCAGTCAACCAAGTTAACTACTAGTTAACTAACTAACTAGTAGTTAATTGTTGTTAGTCATTAACTAAGTTAATCAGTGATCGAAACTCCTACAAATAAACGAGGGCTTGTGATTTCATTGTATTTTTTTCAGAGTGCGCAACTGGGGACTTCATATTCCACCAGAAATGTGGCCTATTTGAGAGGCAGTGGGCAAGAAAAGATGTTCACATTGCTCTCCACGCAATTATATTCCAACTGTAACAATCAGTGCGATGCCGATTGCCGGTCGGAAGCGGAACTCGTTCCGCACTCCCCCCTTTTATGGTTTTGCCGGCCGGCATCGCAACAACAATCGATCGTGTCGCACTTTTTCCCCCAACAATCCATTTGTCCGTCTGACGTGGGCATCATATGATCTCTTTACTGACAATGATCCAGATGTACAGGTAACTGCTAGACAGTGTATCGAGAGGGCAAGCATGGGTTGGGCTTGGTCTTTCATACCTACCGCTACACCGATATCTTTTTTCTGCGACGGAAACCATCCCGACGAGAAGTCTCGGGCTGGGCCCGGCTCTCCTAGTCGGTACAATAGGACTAGTCCCCGACGATGGGGAATGTTCGATAACGCCATATTATATGCGTCCGAATTTTGGAGAGCCTAATCCATGGCTTGGAGACCCGGTTTGGCTTCCCGACCACTTCTCTCGGCTACGCCACTGCCCGAATTGAAAGTTTCCTGATTTTACTTCCCGGGCGGGCACAGAATTACTACCATCTATGACCCATACACGCACAATTTGATAGCTACGTACCTAGATGATCTGATGGTCCGCTATCAAGGCTTATACCAGTTCGTATATGCAAAGCGCCATAGCTGCTCCGTCTTATCCGGGACAGCCCCAGGGAATCCTCTATCCACCCACTCGGTGGATCTAACGCTTCTGGCTGAGTGGCCGATGCTCTTCCTTGATGACCCACTAGAGCATTTGGTTTCCGCCCAAAGCTGGGTGAAAGAAAGAAAAAATGAATAGCGAAAATTTGCAGGGCTTTTTTGGGGCCAACAAAGCCCATATTCATAATTATTTAATATTAGTACCATGTATGAACCCCGTGTGCGCTAGCTGACCTCCTTCCTTTGACTGTTTCAAGCCTCTCGGTTTGCCCACCCTCCAAAGTGTAGAAGGTGATTTGTGGTCATGGTTCGACTCCATGATGCAGACCGAGCCGGAGACGACGACTCGTCCATAGCGGACGGTATCTCCCTATCCCGTCGCCGCTACTCGCGGGGCGGACCACCCGGCGATGACAGCATCGAGCTCGAGCGAATCAACACCTATCGTCTCCAACAACAACTGACTGTTGGATCTCGAGGAAGTCGCATACCGCAAGACCAATGGTTGCCTATTGGGGCAGGCAAGCCGTATCCCCCGCCTCTACCGGACTCTGAGGCATATGTGGTCGAGTTCGAAGGCGCGGATGATCCGATGCATCCCCACAACTGGCCCATGAAGAAGAGGTAATGCAACACAGCTCACCTGCCGGACTTGTATATAGCTTGACGGTTGCTGATGCCATATAGGGTCATGCTTGGATCACTTCTCACCTCCTGTGCCCTAGTGACCGCTTACGGCAGTGCAGTGTTTGCCACCGCGGCTTCAGGTGCCCAGAAAGAGTTCGGCTTTGGTGAAGAAGTTGCGGCTCTGGGAACAACTTTGTATGTTCTAGGGTTTTCGGCCGGCCCGACAGTGTGGGCGCCTAGTTCCGAGTTGCTTGGCCGGCGATGGCCGCTGTTGCTTGGGATGTTCGGCTTCGACCTCTTCATGATAGCCACTGCTACCGCCAAGGATACCCAAACCCTAATGCTGTGCCGTTTCTTTGCGGGTTTTTGTGCAGCCAGTATCATTGCTCTGGTACCTGCTAGCCTGTCTGACGTCTTCAACAACCACCAACGTGGTGTCGCTATTGCCATGTACACTATGTCGGTTTTCACCGGTCCTTTCACAGCCCCATTCATCGGTGGATACACAGCGTCTAGCTATCTTGGCTGGCGATGGACGCTATACGTCCCTGCCATAGTTGGGTTCTTCTGTCTCGCGTTGATAGTGTTCTTCACCACAGAGACCTATGCCCCAATCATCCTGGTTCAAAAGGCAGCCATTCTCCGGCGCCAGACACGGAACTGGGGCATCCACGCTCGCCAGGACGAATTGGAGATTGATTTCAAAGAATTGGTTACCAAGAACCTGGCGCGTCCGTTCCTTATTCTGTTCACTGAACCCATTGCGTTTCTGCTCACGCTCTACATGTCCTTCATCTACGGATTGGCCTATGCGCTGCTGGAAGCTTATCCTATCGTCTTCGAAGGTACTTATGGCATGACCGGTGGTACTGCAGGGTTGCCCTTCATTGGGCTCATCATCGGTGAGATCGCGGGCAGCACATTTGTTCTGTCTTTGTCAGGACAATACTCGCGGAAGTTGGCCGCTAACAATTACGTCGCGGTACCCGAATGGCGTCTGCCCCCTTGCATCGTTGGTGGTGCTGTGTTTGCTGGTGGGCTGTTCTGGTATGATTGTCCCCATGCGATGTAAGACGTCGGACCCGGTGGAAATACTGATAAGCGATACAGGTTCGGTTGGACTGGATGGAACAGTAACATTCATTGGATGGCACCCACGGCTGCTGGTGTGGCTGTCGGCTTTGGCTTGACTTCCATCTTCATGCAGTGCTTCAACTATATTCTGGACACATACTCAAAATTGTGAGTACATCATTATACCCCCCCTATCTAACGACCCTTGGATTACATGCTAACGAAGCAGTGCGGCATCTGCGTTTGCGGCCAATACCATGATGCGATCCATGGTGGGTGCCGTCTTTCCTCTCTTCACGCGACAAATGTTTAACAATCTGGGCATTCAATGGGCCGGCACACTGCTTGGTTGCATTGCTGTGGTGATGATTCCCATCCCGTTAATGTTCTATCTTTTCGGTGGCCGTCTTCGGCAGAAGAGTAAATTGGCCCCTGTGATGGATTTGATGCCGCCCGTTGAAGACGATATCAAAGAGGCGTAGGTAAATAGCTTTAATCCTGGGCTTTGCTGTAGATATAATACTTAAGATAGACACATAGTTATAATTACTTCCGAACTCTGAACACCTGTTTTACAGATATCAAAGAATGTAAGACCTAGGGGCTAACGCTCCAATCCTTCATTGTCCATCAAAGCCATCTATGCGCTCATAATCCAGAAATGGCTGTTAGACGGTCTCAGAAATGGCCTCGACTGAGCGAATAGCATGATCCCCAAGTACGGTCTGTCTAG